TATGTGTCTTAGTCCATTTTTGCTGCTATAACAAATTAAATGGGTTATCTTATGAATCATTGAAACTTTTTTCTCACAGTAATGGAGACTGGGAAGTTCCAGATCAAGACAGCAGCAGATTTGGTATCTAGTGAGGGCCCAGTCTCTGCTTTCAAGGAGGTGCTTTGTTTGTGCATTCATTGGAAGGAATAACCCTGCGTCCTCATGTGGCATAAGGGACAGGACAGAATGTGCCAAACAAAGTACCTTATGGCACAAATACCAAAGTACCTGTTTACCTCTTTAGATGCTGGTAGACCACTTGTTTTGCTAGTCTTTGGAATTGAAAGGAGTGTCATATACACAGAAGCCAGAGTCATCTTGGCCAGATGGTGTTTGATACAGATGGATGGTTAGTTGTCATGCAGATCTCCTAGTTGGTAACTTGTTGCTGCCATCTGACTCAAAGAATCATTCACACACACTGGCTGTCAAAAGCATCTTCTCTTCTGTCTGTTTTAGCTGTCATGTCTGTGCTCTGTACAGAAGTGTTGACAAGACATTGCTGTTGTACATTTTCAATGTGGTTGTTAGTGATTTTTCAGTTTTGTGGGGTCTTTCATAGTGGTGGAATGCACTTTCTTTGTAATTATACTGCTTTAAAAAAATACTGTAACATGCAATGATTATACGACTTTGTAGGAGGACTTTTGGGGTTGTAAGTTTATTCAAATCTGTTCAGTTAACAAAAGCATTTAATAAAAAGAAGAGGAAACTTATTTAGTTTTCAAACATTGCAAATAAACTGAATTTTACTGGTTATTTCCCATTATGATGTAATTTCCTCTTCTGGACTTCCCCTCTCACAGCCTGTGGTTAAAATCTGTATAATCTTTTCTGAATATGTATTTTCTGTTCTCAAATCACTACCTTTTTTCTTAATGTTATAAGCTCTCCCAAAAAAGAAATTGCCTATCTTTTGCATTGATATTCTCAAACTTAATTTCCTCTTGTCTTACTCACCCATGGACCTTGTCTTCATTTTTTTTGTATCCCTTGTAGAAATACAAACAAAGTCATTCCTCCATTCTTTCAGGTCACTTCTGAAAGAATAACTATTCCTCTGATAACGTCTTTTAACACTTAATTAGTCTGTTTATTTATTCAGCTGATATTTGCTGAGCATTTCTGTATGTGCCAGGCAGTCTGTGATACTCTGAAGGTATCAGGAGGAAGTAGTCTCTGCCCTTGAGGAACTCACAGTCTAGGGGGAAATCAGACATACAGACAAACCAGAATACCGAAACTGCTGTATTATAAGTACATGAAAAATACAGTAGGATGGGGACCAGCAGTTAGCGTAATGGCTATGTCGCTGGACTCCCACGTAGTCGACCGCGGTTCCAGTCCCGGACCTGGTGTCTTAAAACTCAGGCCAGGCGCATGTGCGTGTGTGCCTAAGATCCCGAGAGGAGAATGGAGGAGAAGGGATTGCGGCATGGCCATTTTCCCTGGGGGGTGATTTCTCGCTTTCTGTCTCTCTATCTCTCTCTGTCTGTCTGGCAAGTGCACACACCCTATAGCAAAAACCTCTCCCAAAAAAAAGAAAAAAAAAGAAAAAAAATACAGTAGGAGACATGGAATGTTTTATTTCCCTTGCTATACTTCCAGAGTATCAGTTTTTAAAATTATTATCGGAATTTGTTTAAGCTTTATAAATCTTTATTAGTGGTTTAAGAAATAATTTACAACTTGGGACCAGCAGTTAGCATAATGGCTATATCGCTGGACTCCCACGTAGTCGACCACGGTTCGAGTCCCGGACCCAGTGGCTTTAACTCACGCTGGGCGCGTGTGCGTGCGTGCCCAAGATCCCGACAGGAGAATGGAGAAGAAGGGATTGTGGCGTGGCCATCCCCCCTGGGGGGTGATTTCTCGCTTTCTGTCTCTCTGTCTCTCTCTGTCTGGCGAGCGCACGTGCCCTATAGCAAAAATCTTTCCAAAAAAAAAAAGAAATAATTCACAGCGTCAGCTTGAAATAAACATTGACCTATTGATTTTTCCCAGCTGTTTAAAACATTTTCAGCATTATTCACTCATTGTAATATGTTATATGCATGTGTGCTAAAGTATATTTTTAAGTCAGAGTAGAAAATGGAAATTGACCAAAAAAGCTTTCTGAGTTGGTTCTGGAAGAAAATAATGGTATATGGTAATTCGGATTCTTCATTAAGAGGAGTGGGGGACGTAGTATTAATAGATGAAAAATAGTCTGAAGACTGAGTAATTTTAAACATTTACACTAGACCTTCTCTAACGTGTCAAATTTTTCATACTGCTTACTTGATCTCTGGGCAATAGAATATATATACCTATCAAAATATCAAAATATATTGTAAGAATAGGTCATTATTGATTGATGTTTATAATAGGTAATTATTGATTGATGGTTATGAAAAATATTGAGTTTTGTTTAGTTTTAAATACACAGAGATAAGTAAAGAAATAAGGAAGACTACTATTACATGTTTGCTGATTTCTCAGCCCTAGTGGTCCTGGGTAGCCCAGGTAAACTTAAGATATTAAGAATTTGTTGTAAACATATGGATTCTTCTTTCAGTCAACACACCCCCTTTTTCTAGGGGCTTGGATGTGAATCTAGGTAGGAATAAAACCTCTTATTCTAGGATGTCTGGTCCTGGACTATACTAAGGTATCTAATGATCAATTCTGAGACTTGCATTCATTGGACATACAGTCCAGACAGATTCACAAGATTCATTCCTCTATTTACAATAATAAAATTCACTTTGATTCTTTATACTTTGCAAAGTTCTTTTGAGAACATCAAGTTATATGACTGCCCTCAGATAATCCCAGACATGACACATAACACAGGATACATAGCAGCTTTGTCGGTTATCCATGTTCGAGTGTATTACTTGTAAAAATTTACCTTTTATTTGGAAAAATGTATTTTGCTTTAATTTCTTCAACTAATTTATATTTGAGAATCTAGGAACAGAATTTATTTTAAGAAATTTTAGGTTTATTGGTCTCTGAAAATAATAGCTTCATTAATTTTAAACTTTGATAAAAGTCAGTTTAAAATAAGATATCTGCAGGACCAGCAGATGGTGTAATGGTTACATTACTGGACTCCCATGTAGTTGACCATGGTTCAGTTCTCAGACTGGGCAGCTTAAAACTCACACCAGGCACATGTGTGTGTGTGTGTGCCCAAGATCCTGAGAGGAGACTAGGAGAGAAGGGACTGTGGTGTGTCCATTCCCCTATGGGAGATTTCTTGCTTTCTGTCTCTTTGTCTCTCTAGCGAGTGCACAAGCCCTATACCAAAAATCTCTCTAAAAAAAAAAAAGAAAAATCAGGTATTTATCTAGTATCTACTGAAAGATATTACAAGATTATTAGGGCCCCATTTCATATATTTTTTTAAAGAATAATTTTATTGGGGCTGGCAGGTGGTGTGGTGGTTAAAGGTGTTGGACTCCCACATGGCCAACCACAGTTTGAGTCCTGAACCTGGCAGCTTGCTTTCTCACTTTCCCTCTTTCTCTTGCTCTGTCCCTCTCTGGTCAAATTAAAATAAGTAAATAAATAAATAAATAATAAAGTTAAATCAAATAAGTATTTTTTGTTTAAAAAAAAAAAGAATTATTTCATTTAACTTTATTTATCCATTTATTTATTTTATTTGACCAGAAATGGAGAGAGTGAGAGAGAGAGAGAGAAAGTGAGAAAGCAAGCTGCCAGGTCCAGGACTCGAACCATGATCAGCCATGTGGGAATCCAGCACCCTTAACCACCACACCGCTTGCCACCCTCCATTTTTTTTTTTTTTTTCGGAGAGGTTTTTGCTATAGGGCGCGTGTTTTTTTTTTTTGGAGAGGTTTTGCTATATGGCATGTGCGCTCACCAGAAGGACAGAGAAACACAGAGGCAGAAAGTGAGAAATCACCTTTCAGGGGGGATGGCTACACCTCAATCCCTTCTCTTCCGTCCTCCTCCCTGGATCTTGGGCATGCATGCACACACCCGACGTGAGTTTAAGCCACCTGGTCCAGGACTCAAACCATGGTCGAACACATGGGAGTCCAGCAATGTAGCCGTTATGCCATCTGCTGGTCCCCCCCATTTCATATTTCAAAGAATTCTAAGTTAGTCTTTAATTTTTTCTTTCAGTGATAGAAGTTAATAAAGAATTCTCTTATTATATTTTGGTGATGTATTTCTTAAGACTGTACTACTTTGGTAATTGTGGTACAGCATTTTTAGATTTTCTTTAGAGTTTTGGAACATCTGTATTTCCGGACACAAATTCATATCTTTCTTTTTATTGCTTCATTCTCACAGCTGTTACAGTAAAATAACAAAATGAATAGATTAAAGGGGAATTAGGTATTTAAGATATACAATATATACATAAACACTATAGTTGTTCTCTTGACTTCTTAAAATAGAATTTTATGATCTGTATAATTTTATACTTCATAATTGTCCTGATTTTCATAGTGTTTTACTTATAGCCACTTCATTTGTGTTTCTGTACTGTAAAATTAAATTTAAAAGTGAAGTTTTTTTTATTTAAATTTTTTGAAGGACATGAAATCTTAGTTTTTTAAGTTAGTGTGTATTTGTATAGATTACATTCAAGGTAGCATCTGTTTTATTATTTATGCTTTTTTATTTGTTGTTATTAAGGATTAAATTCTAAATTCTATTTTAATTCTAACTGAAGGACCAAGAAACCATATGTTGAACTCTTGATTGGAATTTCTTTAAATAAGATGAGTTTTTAACATCTCTACAGTGTTTTTAGTATTTTGAATCACTGATGTTTGTAAGAATCACACATACATTCCTGGAGTAAGTTTATAGCTCTTAAATATCCAATACCTGGGAAATGGTGAAGTGGGCAACTCATATCTATTGGTGATTATTAATGAACAATAAATGTATGTTCATGTCTGTCAAATCAGGCTAACTGGTTTTTATGTCAGCAGACTGAGAACTATGAGCAGAGAATACGTGAGCAACAGGAACAGCTGTCACTTCAACAAACTATTATTGACAACCTAAAATCACAGTTACTTCTTGTGAATTCCAGTCGAGGTATGCTTATGTTAATTTTTATGTATTTCTTGAATCTCTTGGAGAAAAAAGTAGAAGTTGAGTTTTTCTATTTGTTCCTCTATTGTTTCACAATAGTTTTGATAAAACTGTAATGTACTTTATTTTGTCTGTTTAAGTGATCATGTGCAAAATTGGGGGAAATGGGTATATTGATGTTGAGAAAAGTTTGCAGAAGGTAGTTTGCCAAAAATAGCAAAAAGCTTTTTAAAATATTTTTGCCTTTTGGGACCAGCAGTTAGCTTAATGGCTATGTCGCTGGACTCCCATTTAGTCGACCGTGGTTCACGTCCTGGACCCGGTGGCTTAAAACTCATGCT